CATGCAGACAATTTCTGTACCGAGCCCTTAATTCGATATTTTGAAGAATGTGTTACGACTTATAAGGGAATATGTATCGGTCTTCAGCTTCGGAGAGCAAGGGAAAGAAAGGGAAATATGATTTCGGTGGACGTTCATGTCCAGCACAAGCATGATCAGGCAGTGACTTGTCAGAAATACAGCACCCAATGCCAGATCCAGAAGACAATAAAGAGGCAGAACTTGGATCGTAAAACGGGGTAACGTCCCTGTTAACCTACACGCTTCTTGGACGACATTTTTCTCCGTTCGAAATTGATCCTTGGGACTGCATTTGCGAATCCTATCAGGAATTGCATTGCTATTGGGGCCGTTTTCTAATGCCCCGCAGGTGACTTCCAGTTGAGGGTAAATCCACACCAGTCCGAAATAACTTGTCGAAACCTACACAGGTATGCCACATCACCCGGGTTAAAATCTCACTGAGCTATGTCGACCTGCACTTAGAAACCCCTCAAGGACTTTTTCTCCGAGTCCAGAATGACAGTTCAATCGCCCCTTTCGGCAGAGAGCAACGGAGGAAAAAAAATCCCGGTTCAGTGCCTCCAGCAAGCACCACTGCCGCTCGCAAGGTCACGTGCTTACTAATCAATGTATCTGTTGGTACCACAGTGCTATCGCTACGTAATGCAGTGTGCTTAAGCATGCTTGATCGAATTATGAATAATATTCTCAAACAAAACTGTAAAGAATAGATCAAAATCATGGGAAAGGAAAGCATGTTGAATTCATGATCCATCAACAAGTTCTAAGAGTAAAATTACCCCGGCGTTTATAAAAAAAGAAGAGGGAAACGAGAGAGAAGAAAGCAGAAGTAAAGTAAATTATTTCACACATTTTATGTTCTCTAACTCCCTCCCCCACCCCCACACCCCGCCCGATTTCCCTCCTGCCTCTGAGTGATCTTGTGTTCAATTGAAAGGCCATTTCCCGAAAGCAGCCACTCCGACTGCAATATATTCCGACCTTTTACTGGCGGCCCGCTTAAAAGACCTCTTAAAACAAACCGTAACAGAATAATTCCGCTCGCGACGGCATATCGGCCGGAGTAAGAAGAGACTTTGGTAAAGGACGTCAGGAGAAAACATTAATGATGATGTTGATAAGATAATGATAATAATTATTAGCGTATATAGTTAACTGTTACAGAGTTGGAATTATATGATATTATAACAAGAATGAGATTTTAAAAGATGACAGCCATAAAACAACGAATATAATAATGATAATAGAGATGATGATAATGGTGACGGTGATAATGATAATGATAATGATAATAATAGTAATAATATAATAATAATGATGATGATAACAACAATAATTATAATGATGATGATTATAATAAAAGTAGTGATGATAATGATAGTGATTCTAATAAAAATGATAGGCTAGTTAGTTATAATAATCATAATTATAATAACTGTTGCCAAAGTAAAAGAGAAATATTAGAATTGATTGTATGGATTTACAAAACATAAAAACTGTAATAAAAATTATAAATAAGGCATGGATATACCTTATTCAAAACAGACCCAAAACACAGAGTTACATGGTGTTCATACATTTAGTGCACAACATAGGTTTTCCGCTAATCTTCCGGCACCGCGGTTTTCAGGAACTTGGCCGTTTTACCTTGTAACAGATGTTGCATAATAATGCTTTGATAAAAACACTATTATTACTTATTCAACTTCCATATCTCTTAGTCTAAAAAGCTGCAGTGTAAAGTTGGCAATCACGAGAATTTCGTGTCCGGATTAAACGAGGTATTGAGAAGTCAATTGCCGGAAAATCGGTACTACATATATGTTTGTAGGCCTATGTCTGGTAGAGCAGTGGATAGGTAGGAACTCCAGTAACTGTAATGGTTATGATACTATGATCCTAGTTGCATTATCGTAATCGTTATCTGCATTGTTATAACCATTTTTCTATTAGCACATTGTAATTGGCAATTGTTATCTTTATAATAATAATCTTTATTATTGTTTTAGTAAATAATGTTATTGATATCAATTGTCTTACTATTTTATTATCATTATCACTGTTAGTGTCATAAAAAGATACAAGTCAGAGTGATCAGATAAATGTAATTGGCACATACACAGGATAAATTTTAGCTAATTATGGAGACCTGTCTGATGTCATTACCTATAAAAGTTATAAAGGCACATATATCACTACTTAATATAGGCCTATCGGGAATAAAATACATATGCGAAGTATAAAACTTCAGATGCATGAATTCATCAAATTATTTAAAATAACTTTTCATGTAATTAAAATACATACCGGGTAAATAATAAATTGTTTATTCCCTTTATGTTCTAAAATACATATATATTTAGTTTTTTTTATAACCAAATTTGTTAACGGATAAAGACAAGAAATCTCTTAACTGATTGAACATTATCTGCAAAAAGTTGATGGATATTATTCTTTGCAAATAATTACTGTTCTTGACTGTGTTCGTATGATTATGTTTTTATTACCGTCATTAATATTATTCACATTTTTACGATTTGTAGAAGCAGTAACATCGGTATTATTACTATTTTTTTGTTTTATGTTATTATTATTATTATTATTATAGTCGCCATCATCATCATAATCTTTACTATTATTATCATTATTGTTATTATTATTATTATTATTATTATTATTATTATTATTATCATCATCATTATTATCATTATTATTGTTATCATTATTATTGCTGTTATTATTATTATTATTATTACTATTATTATTATTATTATTATTATCTTTATCATTACTATTCTTATTACTATTTTTTATGATGTTACTATAATTATTATTATTGCTATTGTTATTATTATTTGTAACAGCAATAATGCCTTTATTATTATTATTATTATTATCATTATTATTATCATTATTATTATTATTATTATTATCATTATTATCATCATTATTATCATCATCATCATCATCATCATCATCATCATCATCATCATCATTATCATCATTATTATTATTATTATTATTGCCATTATCATTATTATTATCATCATTATTATTGTAGAAAAGATCAGAAAGAGAATAAATATCTCACAGTGCAAGAGCTGTAGTTGACAGGTTTCGATTATATCTCCGTCATGTATTTCTGACGAAGATATAATCAAAACCGGTCAGATACGTCTCTTGCAATGTGAAGATATTCTTCTCATTCATACCGTTTCAACATTTGTCGAAATGAACAGAGTTTATTGCCATCGTTATTATTGTTGTTATTATTACTATTTTTTTAATTATTATTATCTTTATTATTATTATTATTGTTATTGTTACTATTATCATCTTCATCATCACTACCGCCACCACCATCATCATCAGCCATTCTCTTATTACTATTATTATCATTATTATTATTATTATTGTCGTTGTTATTATTATTATTATTATTATTATTATTATTATTATTGTTATTGTTATTGTTATCGTTATCATTATTATTATTATTATTATTATTAGCATTATTTACTATTATTATTATTGTGAATATTTATTACTATTCTTATTGTCATAGTTATTATTATCATTATTGTTATTATTATTATTATTATTATTATTATTATTATTATTATTATTATTATTATTATTATTATTGTTATTGTTGTTATTATTATTAATATTGTTATTATTATTGTTACTGTTATTATTATTGTTGTTGTTGTTGCAATTGTTAATTATTGTTATTATTATCATAACCATCATTATCATTTCCTTCGTTATGAGCAGTAGACTAACAAAATCACCATTATTCTTATCATCATCACTATTGATGTTATTATTATAATGATGATTATTATATTTTGTCAATATGATTTTCATTATCATTATCATCATTTTTTAAAATCATTTTTATTACTACTATTATTATTATTATTATTATTATTATTATTATTATTATTATCAACAACAATGAAAGTATTAATGATGCTGATAACAAGATGATGATGATGATGATTGTGAGTCTGATCATGGTTTTGATCATAATAATCATAACGATGATGATATGAACCATAATGATAATTATAACAATAACAGTATTGTAATAGTAATAATGATAATGAGAAGAACCATGATCACGATACCAATATCCATTTTATTACTGTCGTTACTGCGGTCATTATTATCGACATTTTTTTTATTATTATCGCCATTGTTATTAAATGTGTTATTATCTTCTGCCTGTGCAGTTTATTTAGTTTTGATTCGATGTCATCATTGTGTCTGCAGCTCATGGAGGTCAAGTATATGTCAATATCTATTATGATATATTTTTTATTTAGATATTGACACGAGAAAATTACATCCCAAATATTTTGAGTTGATGATATTGCCATGATGCACTCAAAAACGACCACATAAGGCGTGATGTCTAGAGTTTGTCTTGACTAAATATAATGATGATAATAGTAATAGTATTACCACTATTACCTTTCTATGATGGAGATCCAGCACCCTCCCGGCCGGCCCGATTCAAGAATTCGCGCCGTCTGGGAAGTGCATTCTCGGGAGGGAAGGAGGGAGAAAGGGAGAAGGCGGAGGGCGGCTTAATCTTGAATGATCATCTCACGCTGCTCGTCGCTCCAAACGTGCCCCGTGAGAGTGACAGAGCCTCGTCGGAGGTCGAGTCTACCTTAGGCGGAGTGTCACTGGGCGTACCTCCCTTGGGCGTGAGAGAGGGAGCCCGTAATCCCTCGGGACGGGCCAGCCTCAGCTACGGGTACGCGGTCATAAATAGATTCGGGCGCGAGAGAATGGATATCATTGAGCGCTGGAAGAGGGGATCATGGGTCAGAGTATCATAGAGATTATCCCACCTAGTTTGTCAGGCTGACCATAAGTGGGCGGAGTCGAGATTTAGGCTCCGCCCCGTTTGGTGGCCCGGCCCCCGCCCCCTCCCTGCCCGGGCTTCAGTGTTCGCTCGGACGTCGGAAGAGGGAGTCACGCTCTCTCTCGCTCTCAGCCTCCTCTGCTGCAGCGAGGGAATCCGGGATAACTTTTAGTCCTTTTTGATCGTGACGTGAAGTGATTCTGGTGTGTGGCGCCTGGGAGGGAATGTCCTAGTGGCCTACAGTGCTATAGATGGTTAGGTTGTTGTTGTCGAAGTGATTTTATCGTGTGGTAAAGTAAAAGAATGTCCAACACATTACGTTAGTTTACAGTGTCCGATGTGAGTGAATCAGTTTTTATTTTTTGATTGATCAGTGTTCGTTGTGAAACGAAGGCGTTGTTGACCTTGTGCGCTAGTAACGATGGTGTTGTGCAGGCACGTGGTCGTGGTGGCGGTGGCGATGGCGATAGCGGGGCGCCTCAGCGCGGCTGCAGGTGGTGGCTACCTCAAGATGTTTGAGGCTCAGCACAACCCGCCCGACCCGTGCTACGACGACGCGGGCGCGCGGCCCAAGAAGTGCATTCCCGACTTCATCAACGCCGCCTTCGGGCGTTCCGTCGAGGCCTCCAGCACGTGCGGGGCGCCGCCGTCGCGGTACTGCGTGACCTCGCACGAGAAGGGCGAGGTCAACCGCAAGTGCCACGTGTGCGACGCCGAGGAGCCCGCCCGCGCCCACCCCGCCCACTACCTCACCGACCTCAACAACCCCAACAACCTCACCTGCTGGCGCTCGGCCCCCGTCGACCCCCTCAAGCCCGAGAACGTGTCGCTCAACATCTCCCTGGGAAAGAAGTACGAGCTCACCTACATCAGCCTGCAGTTCTGCGGCCAGAAGCCCGACTCCCTGGCCATCTACAAGTCCATGGACTACGGGCGCACGTGGCACCCGTTCCAGTTCTACTCGTCGCAGTGCCGCAAGGTGTACGGGCGCCAGAGCCGCCTGGTGATCGGGAAGGCCAACGAGCAGGAGGCGCTGTGCACGGACGCCCACCTCAGTCACAACGACCCTCTGACCGGCTCGTCCTCGTCCAGGATCGCATTCAGCACGCTGGAAGGACGACCCTCGGCCTACGACTTCGACTCGTCGCCGGTTTTGCAGGACTGGGTCACCGCCACGGACATCAAGGTGGTTCTGAACCGCTTGCACCCCGAGCTTGACGAGGCCACGGCTGACAACGAAAGTGCCGCTCAGGAGCGCTATAGTTACGCTGTGGCAGACCTGGCTGTTGGCGGCCGTTGCAAATGCAATGGTCACGCCTCCCAGTGCATCCCGGACAAGACCACGGGCGCGCTGGTGTGTGACTGCGCCCACAACACCGCCGGGCGAGACTGCGAAAAGTGCAAACCCTTCCACTTCGACCGACCGTGGGGACGCGCCACGTCCCGAGAGGCCAACGAGTGTGTAG